CAAACGGACCGGTTCTTTTAAGACAGATCTCTTTGGGGATCAATACCAGAAGTGAATTCTCCTGTTAGGGTTCTGTGAATTATTGGTGGCTACAGGGGAGGGGGATGTATGGAAGTTCAGAGTGCCCTTGGTCCACAGGGTTATAACTCAGCAACAGAAGTTTAAAACAGAGGCCTGCAGGGCTGTTTCCTATAACAGTGAGCACAGAGTAAGGGAAACTGAGACCTAAAAGGCATTGACCGGAAGGGAGAAAGGTTCTATATCAAAGTCTTCTGAACCAGAAGTCATCCTTTCACGGGCCATGGGCTGTCCAAGGCCGGCAAGCCCTGAAAAGGAGGTGTCTGAGGAGTCCCAAATACACAAAAACCACTTCCCTCCCTTCCCTCCCTCTAGGTCGGCTCAACCTGCTTCTCCCTCTCGGCCCTTCTTCAGAACGGAAGGAACCGTTGTTCCTCTCTTCTGAGAGTCGGAGCTCTTTCTTCTCACTTCACCAAATGGTTGGAGACTGGAGAAGACTTTGAGGGCCACGCATGCGGCGGTGGCGGTGGCGGTGGCGGCTCATCCGGTAACTTCAGCTACTTAAGAAGCCGTGGTAGAAGACTCTCAGGCTTGAGGCTGGGCTGTGTAGTGAGTTCAAGGTCAGCCCAGGCAACTCACAGCACTGCCTCTCAAAATAGAAACAAAAAAAGGGTTGGGACTGCAGCTTGACAGCAGATGACTCGTCTAACACACATAGCAAAGCCCTAGGTTGAATCCACAGTAGCGCAAAGCGAAACAAAACCACAAACAAAAAACCACCAGGCGCCATATGCTCGACAGAGCCTAGGATCATTTGGTGGGGGCTGCGATCTATTCACAAGACGATATAATAGGCTCCTGAGTGAGTTTACGTTTTGTAGCAACAGCAGCAAAACAAACCATGCCAAGCTGTCAGCTTGAGGTTTGCGCAGAAGATGTCCCAGCAGAGGGGGACAGGCTGTTCTCCACAGGAAAGGGCACACCTAGTTTTATAAGTAAAAAACTCAAAATAACAAAAAATACCAATAAAAATGATGGGCTGGAGACAAAAGCCCTGGGTTCAACCTGTATCGTTGAAAAAAAGGAAGAGGAAGGGGAAACAGAATTCTAGGAAAAGGCAATAGAAGGACTCTAATGACTTAACCATGTCCCCCATGTTAAAAAATGCCTATACCAGATGTGACTTTTCTAATTACAACCCTTCACTAATAACTCTATGAAGTTTAAACATCAAAACAATTGGAAATATTTTAAACTCAGCCAACTGAGAATATAGTTAGATCCCCACCGCAAACCTTCCCACTCTGTCTAGCCCAGACCGTTTGACTCTCCAACAAGGTAAAACCCAACTTTATACAAATGAGGGTCATGATGAGTATCTTTCTTGTGATTAAACCCATTATTAAATATTTACCTAAAAAACACACTAAAGAAATTCATCCAACATTTTTAATATGTATGGCATGCAATTATCACTTTGGATCAACTACTCAATTGATGTCATAGAGATAAACACTTATAAATGAGTTACCTAACCACATTTTACAAAACAGTTACACAGCAATATAAATTTACACTTATCTGATCTCTCTCTCTTTTTTTTTTTTGACCTTTATTTTAAAAGCTGCATACTTATTTCCCTTTCTGACTCTGTGCTTGTGCCTTCAACACTTCACAACAATTTTCTGCTCCTTGACAAGGAAAGCCTGCGTGACCCTGTCATGGACACGCTCAGCACACATGGAGCCACGGTAGGCTCTACTGACACGCCTCTTTGTCTTAGACAGTCTCCTAAGAATTTCGGTCTGACAGAGCAAACCCCTCGAAGTCTGCCTGGGCACACACCGCAGGTGGATTTAGGTGCTTTCCCATCCTTCTTGGTATAAAGGTAAACAACCCTGCTGCCAGGGGTTTGAGACAGCCTAGGTTTGTTAGAGGCTGTATTGGAGGAAAGCCTATGTTGGTATGTCAGACGCTGGACATTCTGAGCACCCTCACGGAAGCCACAGCACTGTCCCCCAAGAGGTCCCGCCCGCCTGACTCCTCTGATGGCTGCGGATTGTAAACAGAGCAAACACAGAGCAGAAACCCTGATCTCTTGATAGTTCAGCTAAACACCACCCCTGCAAAGTTTTCCACGCCCCTTACGGGTGGTTATGTAACTTTTTTTGAATCGTCTCCCTAAAGTCAAACGTGGGATTGCGTTAGCGGTACTCTCTACAACTGTGTGAGTACCATAGTTGTGAAACCTAAGAGCCACAGAGACTGGGTAATTTAGATACGGCTGAGTCCGAGTGGCACGGCGGATACACAGTGTGGTGGCGCTGTTTATCTACCAGAGTCAACCAACGATGAAGAACTTCCTAGAGAGCAAGCACCCGACCCTCTCGGGTTCCACGCTGTGCAGGAAGAGGCAGCCAGCCATTCGCCACAGTCTCTCCAGGGGATGGGGATGTCCCAACTCCTTTAATGAGGCTAGCATTAGCCCACTACCAAAGCCAGTATTTCTAATGAATACAGATGTGAAAAACCTCAGCAAAACCAGCAAATCGGACTCAGTGTCGTATAAGGAATTGGACGGAGAGCAAGAGTCATCCCATCGGGCTATATGAAGCTGACCTCAAAACCAGTGAATGCAACCTAACCTAGTAAGCTACAGTCTGAGAGATCACAGGGGCCTATCAGTAGAAACAGAATAGCACTTGATGAGAATCCAATGCCCACTCATGAAAAAAAAAACCTTCAGTAAACTAGGAAGGTAACTTTCTCAACCTGACTTAAAAAAAAAATCCTACAAAGCCTTCCAGCTAACACCGTGTGCAGTGGTGACAGAGTGCAGCTCGTCCATAGAGGTCAGGGGTCAGACACAGGTGTCTTCACCTGTGATTCCATTTCACCACGTGCCGGGAGTCCCAGCTCTTAAGGGAAATAAGATGCACACAGACTGGGAATGAAGAAATGAAACTCTTTACTCACAGAAGTTGCTGTAAGCACGTGTCCATTGTGAGGCTGTGGAAGATGTCTATCTTAGGGTCTCTGCGGCTGTGACAAACACCACGGCCAGAAGCAACCCGGGGAGGAAAGGGTTTATTTGGCTTACTATCACAGAAGGAAGTGAGGTCGGGAACCCAAACGAGGGCCCCTAGAGGCAGGAACTGACTCTCTGAGGCCATGGGAGGGAGCCGCTTACTGGCTGATTCCTCAGCCTGCTTCCCTGGGCCCTCCCACATCAACACTGATTAAGAAAATGTCCTACGGGCTTGCCAACAGCCAGTTCTCATGGAGACCTTTTCTCAGTTGAGGCCCCCTCCTGTCTGATGACTTCAGCTTGGGTCACATTGACATAAAACTATCCAGCAGTGGCTTAGTTGGTAGTGTTTGCCTGGAAGGCATGAAGACCTGAGGTTAGAGCCCTACAACCCTTGTAAAAATCTAGATATGGTAGGCCCTGTAACCCCAGAGATGGCTACATGGGAGGCAGACGTTGGAAGATCTCTGGGAGCTGGTAGAACCGCTGTCCTGGCCTACAACTGCCAAGTCCAAGACACGAGACTCTGTCTCAAACAAAAAATGGAAGGTGCCTGAGGGAACAAGATTGACCTCTGACCTCTACATGCACACATCTATATCCACACATCTACACACACATAAAAGAAGTCCATTGCTTTTTTTTTTTTACATCCCAGAAACAAACAGGGAAGTTGAAATTTAAGACACAGAATCATTTATCTTATCTTAGCATAAATCTAATAAAATGTATGCAAGTTTTATATGAACAAAATCATAGAACTTTGATGAAAGGGAAACAGAGACATAAACACAAGTATCTGCTGATGGAATGAACGGCTGTAAAGTTTACATGAAGAGACACGAGTCCAAGCAAGGCTAACAGCGTTGAAGGAGGGCCAAGCTGGGGCTCCGGCACCGCCCACCTTCAAGACTGATTATAAAGCTATGGCCATCAAGACACTAAATCAACGTAACAGGAAGCCCAGAAATGACCTTAACTGTGGAGTAGAAACAGTAGAGTGGAGAGATTATTAAAAAAAAAAAATCACCGGGCATTGGTGGCTCACGTCTTTAATCCCAGCCCTTGGAAGGCAGACATGGGCAGATCTCTGAGTTGGAGACCAGCCTGATCTACAAGAGCTAGTTCCAGGACAGCCTCCAAAGCCACAGAGAAACCCTGCCTCGAAAAACAAAAAACAAAACAAAAAATCAATTTGGACACAGATCTTATAAATACTAATTCAGAATGGGTCACAGATATAAATACGAGATACAAAATATAAAACCCCTGAGAGATATGACCTTGGGCACAATGATGAGTTTTTAAGTACAACACCAAAGGCATGACCCATAAAAAGGATAAATGACAAGCTATTCTTCCATTAAAATCAAAACCCTGTCAGATACAAATGACATTTATGAAAAAGAACCTTTATCCAAAACACACAATTTAACATTAAGGAAATGAATAACCTAATTTAAAAATCAAGTCACATTAGAAGACATTTGGATCACTTCTTTGTCTTTAACTTTTATTTCAGTCATACAAAGAATTGAGTTTTGGGCTGGAGAGATGGCTCAGCGGTTGAGAACACTGGCTGCTCTTCTAGAGGACCAGGTTCAATTCCCAGCACCCACATGGTATTTTATAACTGTAATTCCGGTTCCAGGCACATAAAGCATATTTAAAGGAGGGAAACCTCTGTATGGCACACCCTGATGACTGATATGTTGAACACTTGTCAACCCACAGAATGTGACCACCAACAGTGAATCCTGGACTATGTTTACGAGGTCAACACGCGTGCACCGGTGCTAATGCGTGTGCACTCTGGTGGAGGATGCTATAATAGAGGCTAGAATCAGTGTGGAGCTCGTCACACATGAACTCTGTACTTCTTACTCAGTTTCACAGCGAGTAGAAGATTGTTTAAAAAGAACACAAAACCATTAAAACATCAAAAATGGTTTAGTAAGTTCTATATCCATTTTTATTTAAGAGTGCATATCATATAAAAGTTTTATTTCATATCACATAGATAATGCTTCTGGTCCATTTCCATGAATTCTTTTCGTTCCCCCCTTAGGTTGCTGCAGGTCACTATTGCCTCGCAGAGGAAGAATGAAGAATTAAAGGCCCTGGGAAGACCCTTCTCGGCCGTCCCTGAGGATTCTGGGAGGCATTCAGTAGCATGCATACAGCACTCAAAGGTGAGTGAGAAACACAGTCCTGAGACTGTCTCAGAAAACACAGCTCCTTGGGTTTAGACTATTAACGCCCGCCACACACAGCCAGTGCTGACTCCGGTGCCAGCATTAGTAGCCAGCTTCCAGTCTCCACTCTCTGAAGTGTTTCTCCATTGTGCTCCGAGACTGGAAGGTGCCGACGTTCACGGTGGGGATGATTTTCTGTGGCTTCAGCCACTGGACAAAACGTTTCATTTCTAGGTAGCTGCTGTGTTCGCTATAGGGAATCCCTGTAAGACCAAAGGAAAGAAATTATTGACTAAAAACAAAAATATTAAAAGTAAAAGAAGATAGAAACCCAATCTAGAATATTGCTGTTAAGGAACTCTGGTGCTTTAATTATGATAATAAAACTTGATGTCTTTATAATAAAGATTAAACATTAACAACAAAATTCAGGGCATACACACACACACAAAAAAACCCCCACAAATCCCTTAAACATTACTTCAAAATGCACATATCTAAAAATACACATTTTTAGAATTATATTTAATTGGGATTCTCTTCCTCTAAACCAGTGGTTCTCAACCTATGGGCCGAGACCCCTCTGGGGGTTGAATGACCCTTTCACAGGGATCACCTGAGACCATCAGAAAACAGATATTTATATCAAGATTCATAACAGTATCACAATTACAGTTAGGAAGCAGCAATGAAAATGATGTCATGGTTGGGGTCCCCACAACATGAGGAGCTGTAGTAAAGGGTTGCGGCGTCAGGGGGGCTGAGAGCCACTGCTGGGAGCACTTCACTCAGCTGTGAGCTTGAGGAAAATCGGAGGAAATGTGAGGAAAGTGGGAAGGATGTCCAGCAGGGGCTTTTGGTTTCTGGTGTAAGCCAACGCCAAGCCAGTGTAAGCCAACACTAGCGCCAAACTGGTGTAAACCAATGCCAACGCCAAGCTAGTGAAAGCCAACGCCAACGCCAAGCTTTGCATACATAAAAAGCAAGAAGAAAAAAAGAAAATTCTAAAAATCTCTTTGTCTTTTTTTAGAGTAAGTCCCATGGAGAAGGGTCACGAGAGTCCGGAGTGAACTGGTCCTCAGCGGTCTGGAGACACAGCGCCTGCCGTCCGTGTACTAAGGCAGCTCTGAGGGCAGGGTGAACCTCTCCCAAGGGACGACAACACAAAGGCAAGCCTGCACCAGCTGTCGCCCCGGCAGTCACCACATCTAACCCACCTCTTCCTGCCACAACCTCATTGCTTCCTGTCAGCTAAACTTGGGTATAAAACCACAGCTCTGTACTTTCAAGTAATTCTCTTTCCTCTAATAACCCTGACTACAGCATGCAGTGATCTGCCTTGGCCAGCACTGGGATATCGTCAGCTCTTGTATGCTGGCTTACAATGGACAGGGTAGTAGGAGTGCAGAGTTGCGGACAGCCTGGACACTTTCCAGCTGCTAGATTCTTTGCTGTCTGCTTTTCTTGGTTCTGCATTTTACAGTGCTTTTTTTTTTTTTGGTTTTACGAGACAGGGTTTCTCTGTATTGTTTTTGAGGCTGTTTGTCCAGCCCGGCCTCGAACTCACAGAGATCCGCCTGCCTCTGCCTCCCCAGTGCTGGTATTAAAGGTGTGCGCCACCACCGCCCGGCCCGCATTTTACAGTGCTTTTAAGGAATGAGTGGTACCACAAACATTAAAAGTGAGAAGCTCTGAACCAGAGAGATGGTTCAGTGGGTTAGGAAACTTGCTGCCACGTCTGATGACCCAAGTTCAGTCCCTAGGACTCACACGGCAGAGGAGAACCAACTCCTGCAAGCAGACCTCTGACCCCATGGCTACACATGGTATACATGCACGCATAAAGATGCCACAGAAAAGAGAAACGGAAGAAAAATGATGAGTTTGAACAGTTTTACCATATATTGATATATTTCCTTTCGTCTGGGGAGTAATATCCGCTATGCTAGTTATGTTGTTAGAATGTGTCCATCCTGTAGGTCGAAAAGCCAAAATCTGGTCGTATTTCCCACCACACTTCTTCAAATGACTCTGTAAGCCCTGTTAAATAAAAACAGTGCATCAATTTGCTGGTCAGTGTCAACAGAGGCAGGTGGCATGGGGTTGAAGGTGAGATTAGAGACTAGCCCTGACAATCACAGAGAGCGCCTGCTGGTGAGACTGGTGTGCAGCAGCCCGGGGCCGTGCTTCTGTGGGGAACGCAGCAGCCCGGGCCGTGCTTCTGTGGGGAACGCAGCAGCCCGGGGCTGTGCTTCTGTGGGGAACGCAGCAGCCCGGGGCCGTGCTTCTGTGAGGAACACATACATCTTCTGTTTTTGACTTTTCCTAAACAAGCTAAGGCAAAGCCTGGAAAAAACTATGATGAATCATCTGAAAGCTAAGTAACAGAGTTAAATGAGTCATGGTTGAGTTAGCTACAAAACCCCACATACAGGGACATTAACACTGATAACAATCAACATAAATGCAACGAAAGTCTTTGAGTATGAGCTGAGGGGGGCACTGGACTCGCCTTGAGACTTAGCTCCGCTACACTTTTCCTTTTTCTCCTCAAACCCTACATTTTGTGGGTTTCCTTGCTCAGTTTGCTCCTTTTCATTGCGTAAGAGTGATCTCTGATGATCACATGACACAGCCAATACTAGGCTGTCTTAAAACTTCCTCTGCCAAGCCATTAATCCAAAACTCTTTAATTTAGCCTCAAGAATTTTTTTTTTAGAACAAGGGAAAAAAAGCAGCCATGTTCATTGCCAAAATATCACAAGAATGGTCTCTAGGCCATTTATTGATAGTCATCCCCTCTGAAGCTTCTTGAGTTGGTCCCCACAGATCAAATCATTTTCAGCACTGTCTTCCATGCTCTTTAATAGGATGGCCCACTAAGCCTTGCTGAAAGTGTCCAACTACATTTTCAGTCTGAACTTGTAGCAGCCTCTTGCCTATGAACCTGTAATGGTGGCCACACCCCTCTGGGCGTGGCTTCAGATGCAGACAGATGCAAAAAGAGAGCCTGTGAGATCAGGCCTCAACACTTTTCTCTTTCTGCTTCAGTCCACACCTGAAGCCACGCCCAAAAGGGTGTGGCCACCATTACAGGTTCACGGGCAAGAGGCCTCTCCACAAACTCTCAAAAGTTTTCCATTTTCCTACAACAAGCATCAATATCCCAGTCCCTGGTACCGGCTTCTGTCTTAGCAACTGCTCTATTGCTGTGAAGAGACATCGTAACCAAGGCAATTTTTATAAAGGAAAGCATCTGACTGGGGGCTTGCTTACAGTTTTGGAGGCTTAGTCCACTAACGCCCAAGCGGGGAGCATGGCAGCAGGCGTGACAGGCATGGTCCTGGGGAAGCAGCTGAGAGCTGCACTCTGAATGGCAGACAGAGACAGACAGGCGGGGCCTGCCATGGCTAGTGAAACACTGCTCCAATAAGGCCACACCTTCCAGTCCTTCTCAATGGTGCCACTTCCTGACAACCGCGCATCCAAACACATGAACTTGGGGGCCACCCTTACCCGAATCACAACACGTGCTCCTCTTGTAAGGTGTTGAGTAGAATAAAGTGTCTCACTCAGCCAAAGTCATAACTAACTACGGCATTGCAAAAACCTTTTAAAGATCCTGTTCCAAGTTAAATCTTTGAGAGGTGGGAGCAACTCAGCTGAAGATAACAGTGGCCCATGAGTGGTCCTGGTAACATACGGGATTCTTTTAAAGGTCAATACTTTAGATTTTCAGGTTGAAATCTAGGATTCAAAAAGCTTATAATGAAGTAAAAGTCACCTCATTGATGAAATAATCCTGTTTTATGTGTGTGTGCCGGTGTGCGTGTGTGCACGTGTGTGTGTGTGGAGGACATGGGTTATCTTGTTGTCACGCTCTGCCCTGTCCCCTTGAATCAGGGTGAGTCACTGAAGCCGGCAGCCCCAGCCATCTTCCTGTCTCCGTGCGCTTATCTGCTGAGCCCTCTTTGCAGCCCCCCCATTTCCCTTTGCGCCAACCAAATCATTAATGTGAGGCAAATATAAAGATATCTATCCTGAAAATCCTATATTTCTAATCAACTCCTAAATCTTGATATTAAGAGCTAGAGTTATCGACATTTCCATTACGTGCGTGGCATTGTTTTGGTTATTTTCTTAATTACTGTTTTTCCTCACTTTGCCCTCCAGAAGAAAGAAGCACCAGTAAACAGACTGTGGGTAATACATATAACTACATGCGCACCAGTAAACAGACTGTGGGTAATACATATAACTACATGCGCACCAGTAAACAGACTGTAGACAATACATATAACTACATGCGCACCAGTAAACAGACTGTAGACAATACATATAACTACATGCGCACCAGTAAACAGACTGTAGACAATACATATAACTACATGCACACCAGTAAACAGACTGTGGGTAATACATATAACTACATGCGCACCAGTAAACAGACTGTGGGTAATACATATAACTACATGCGCACCAGTAAACAGACTGTGGACAATACATCATATAACTACATGCGCACCAGTAAACAGACTGTGGGTAATACATATAACTACATGCAGAGTTATGTAGACTCGAGTCTAGTTTGCTGCATTCACTACCAACTTATCCGTTTCTATTTGTTTCTTCAAAACTACCTGAAGAATTAGATGAGAATCAATTTTTGGTTCCTAGGAGACAAATCAGTTATTCTAAAAATAGCATGTGATATAAACCAGTGCTACAAATAGATACTTATGGTTCCATGAGCCAAATCTACAGAGACGGCTGCCAGAACCACTGGCTGTACATCCACTACAATTGCAGGACTGTTCTCAGGAGGAAGGTTATTATAAACAATTTAGTCAACACAAAACCCCTGATTTATGACTGTCTCTCTGTGTTTATTAGTAACCAGCTTGTGAGAAAGACGCCTTGGCAATGTCACCAACTTCCTTCAGAATGCCAACAATCCCCACAGCATCTGCACGCCATGTTTTACCACATTTAGTCAACAAGGGTTAAGTCTGGGGTGGCAGTCAACCATACAATGCCTGTAAGACCTTGGGATGGGTAAGAGTACGAGTTAGGCGTCATTTGCAGTATTTCAGGCTTAGTTTTTAGATACGTAAGTGCATGTGTTTGTGTATGTGTTGTGTACGTGTTCAGGCACACATGCGTGCATGCTTATGAAGGCCAGAGGGGCATATGTTTGTGTATGTGTTCACACTCGTGTACGTGCTTGTGGAGGTCAGAGGGCAGTCTCGGGCACCGTTCACTGGATCCATGCTTGTAAGACAGGCTCTCTCACTACCTGAAGCTTGCCAAGCAGCCTCAGCTAGCTGGTCAGGGGGACCTCCAGACTCACCTAAGTGCTCTACCTACAAAGCACACACTATGCCCAGCCTTTGGGTTTGTTTTAGAACATGGATCTGGAGGCAAGCACTTTACCGACCCCACATTCCAAAACCTTTTAAAGATGCCCTGAGAACGATCAGGGTTATCTTTTAACAACAAGCATTATATCTGATGCCCCTGGTAAAGTTGACTATAATCACTAAGACACAGCCTTACAATAACCATCAGATTCGACTCCTCTGAGTTCACAAGACAAGACAGCTTCAAAAACGTCACAGTACCTGCTCCCGTGATGGAAGGATGGAGAGATCCCGGAAGGCAGTACCAATGAACATCTGTTCTAGTTCTACACCAGGAACAGGAGAGGAGAGGGGACATGCCTCACTCGCTGGCACTTTACGGCTCCATCTCCCAGCGTGAGGCGAGACTCCACCTGCCTTCCTTAAGTTTCTTAGATGTCCGCCATCTAAGAACCCAAAACTAACTTTTTAGTATGAACTCCCAGAAGTGGTAAAATACACCGGATGAGGATTAAAAATCTAGACAGTGGTACCAGGTCACTCCCTTTTCAGGAACCCCAGCCTAAATAGTGCCCAGAATAAAGGCTCCCAAATCTTAAAGCCAATTTAAGTTCCTGAATAAAAACTATACTTGAGTTTGCAGTTGCCTCGAGATTTATTTCTGTTTGGGCCTGGGATGATAGAAATAGAGAAAGCAGCCTGTGAAGCTGCTGGCTGTGCAGGAAGTATGGGAGTCTCTCTGAGTGAGGCTGCTGAGAAACTCACTCCACCACTCCAAGCCTAGGGGACTAGGGGAAGTGTCACGCTTCCCCTAGTCCCCACCCACAACCAAGACACTCACTTGCTAAGGAGCCCCGGCGCTGCTAGCCCACGCCCTGCTTCTGGTCTCTACACCTCTCCTTTGCCTATTGCTTTTGTTTGTTTGTTCTTTCTCTCTCGACTTCTGGGCTGCGACTGCCAGTATTGAAATCACTAAAATCAGCAGCTTTTAGGCTACTTACAAAATCAAAGTTGTGCAACACCGACATTATCAAATTCTAGGGCATCTACATCATCCCCAAAGCAAACCCCGTACCACTGGCTCACTCGCCATTGTCTCCCTTCCAAGCCCTGGCAACCACGAACCTGCACTCTAACCCTACAGACTTACATACTCTGGGTGTTTCACACGAATATAATCAGGTAATAGATAGGAGCTATGTTTGCCTCTTTTACCTTGCGTATTTTTCTCAGTTTATACTGCAGCATGCATTATATTATTATTCCATTTCTTTTTATAGTTGAAAAACACCTTGTTTTATGGATACATCACATTTTATTTCTTCATTCACTATTTAATGGGTATTGGAGTTGTCTCTACATTTTGCCTGTTATGGATCATGCTACTGTGAATATTTAAACAGTTTTATGCAAGGTCAGGCTTTCATTAAGCATGCCCAGGACCGACCAGGTCATCACCAAACTGAATGCAAGGACATCATTTCACAATCCCTCTAGCAAACAGCAGGGATCAGATTTCCCCATGCCCCCATCAAGAGTAGTTACTGTCTATCTGTTTCACCGTAGCTATCCAAGTGCGAGTCACGGGGTTATCTCACTGTGGTTAGGATCTGTAATGTCCTGACAGCCACAGCACCGTGCCTCCTTTCGTATGCTATTGGCTGGCCATCGCTGTGGTCCTTCTTTGGACAGTCTTCTCATTCCTTCCCTAGCTCTCTGCCCTCTGGCTCCTCCCATCATGACATCACTGCACAGTCCCAGTGCTGGTCAGCATGGCTACTCTAGTTGCAGATTGCCTTTCTTCCCTCCCGTGACCTTCTCTGCAGCAGACGGCATCTGGGAATATCCTTGGGAAAAGTTCTAACCCTCCAACATCCATAATACTGACGGCCCCACCCTGACAATCTGCTCAGATGAAACAGAGGGGAATTAAACAGTGCTGCCTGTCCTCCAGGGCAGCGCCACGCATCCTTCTGGGAAACCAGCATCTCCGGGGACCAGGTAGGCGGCACCCAAACTTGAAACCCTCACAGGGCTAGCTCAGTTAGTGATATGTAGCCCTGCCTTGGCCATACCTGAAAAGTTATAGACTACGAGCCCAGGGAAACGGGCCCTAAACTAACGCTTTCACCTCATATAAGGGTATACAGAGATGACTCCTGCTCGAAGACGGGGCAGTTGTTTTCCTGACATCTTGTTATTTGGAAGGCACAGGCTTCCTAGCTTAAAAAGCTTCAGAAAAGCTACTTCAGAAACAAAATGGCAGAGGCAAAACCACATTTTTGTGCCTTATGTTCTAAATTGTGCTTATTATAAAACATTAATACATTCCATTGGCAGGTATCAATGTGATAGAATATGGGGTAAATCTCAGAACTTAAATCTGAGAGACAGGCCCCGAAACCACAGTGACACGTCAGACGTTTCATATAACATGTTCTTGTTTACTCCTGGGGACTCGGCCACACTAACTCATTCAGTAGACACCAGTGTCTAATGACTAGGGCTGAATATCAGAACTGACTAGGGCAGGCCTGAGGAGATGAACTTACACCTAGCGCCTCACTCACCCAGAAGTGACTAGGAAATGTGGTCGGTCCTGACACAGAAGTCTGGATGGCCAGATGGCTAATGTGCTTCTATTTGCGTTCCTTCCTTGGGGCTAATCCTCTAGTGCCTAAAGTCCTGGTGGGCATGTGGATTCCTCTGCAAACATTAAATGTTTCCCTTGGGGGAAAAACCTTCATTCTAACACAATTCCTTAGAATTAAATACAGATAAATACCTTTCCTGGTGCATCCTAAAAGATACACATCTCGAATGCTCACCTTAAAATTAATTTGCATCATTGGGAGGAGGTGGACCAGGGAGCTGCACATATCTGTAGTTATGAGGGAGTTGACTTCTGGTATGTTGAGACACTGCAAAGTTTTATACTTCTCTGGGGACATGCCCACCTTTGAGCCCAAAACGTCAGCAATGGCTGTAGGCAAAGCAGAAGGTGAAAAGCAATAAAACCATGGCTTATTAAATAAACAAAGTTATAACTTGCTCAAATTTTACAATAAGAATTGACCAAATAAAAACAAATTCACAAAACAAACATCCACACCTTATCCACAAACAGCCAAATGACTTTGCTCATTAGCTATGTGGAATTAACAAACTGAAAGAGAAAGAATTTCTCTTTAAAAGTTTATACTCATTATTTAGAAACTACAGAAGAAGCGTAGAAAGCAGAGATGCGGAAATGGCTCAGTGGCTAAGGGCAACTGACGCTCTTGCGGAGGCCCCAAGTCGGCTCCCAGCATCTAGTCAAAGGTAGCTCCCAACCCCTGCAATTCCGGCTCCACGGCCACCTGATGCCCTCTTCTGACCTCTGTGGGCACCTGTACTCACATGCACAAACAGATTCACATGTGTACACATGTGAATTAATCATAAAAATTAATCATAAAAAAGAAAGCAGCTTAGAAAGAGGTAGATGGAAAGGAAGTACATTTGGACATGTTAAACCCTGACCTTATCATTTCATCTCTTGGAAGAGGGCAGAGGGTCATCACATTTAGAAGTAATGGGGAGCACTCTGCAGAAACATAACACCTTACCACCTATGGGGAGCACTCTGCAGAAACATAACACCTTACCACCTAAGGGGAGCACTCTGCGGAAACATAACACCTTCCACCTAAGGGGAGCACTCTGCAGAAATATAACACCTTACCACTTAGACAAACCACAGGGAGACAGAAGTCAGCCAGGAGCAAAAGTTAAACTGTTCTCTGACAGTTCGCTGGTGGTTCCCGAAAGGAATGCTATGTGGCTATGCAGTAAGCACCTTTCAAAGGCAATTAAAATCACAATGCTACACGGATTTTGTTGACTTAAGTGTCAACATAAATACACTTATCAAATGTTTCCACAAAGTTTAGCCTCCTGGCTTAAATGATCAAACACTATCCTTTTCCCTGTAACTTCAAAGGTAACAATGGATCATTTCAGAAAATAAACACCAAATGCAAGAGTAGAGACTGAAAGGGCTTTATGCAAGCGAATCTGATCTTTATAACATATTAATGTAAATTAGATACCGCTATCACCCACCTAGGAAGACTTTCTCCTTTCCGATACAGTAAGTGCCACAGACAATAAGTGCACGCGGGTTTAGAGTTACCGCCTCAAAGGCAGCGTTGATGGCAAACTGGATAACCTCCTGCTGAGACGGGAAGGTATACTCTGGGCTGCAGTACCTGTGACAAGGACAGGAATATGAGACCAGGGCCCTACTTGGGCGCTGCTCTAGAGGAAAACCAGCCAGCGAATTACGTCCACCAGGAGGACAAGCACATGAAAAGGACACAGTCTCACACTGCCTAGAATGAAAATACTTATTTCCAGTTACTGCCAATTTAAGGTAGAATACATAATAGTTTTTCAACACACATTTTAAATTATGTTTTTATCATCCTCAAAGAAATTTCCTGTTTGAGTACTTTCTTCTCAATGAGAATATTTCTACCCAGTTAACCACTAGTTATGAATGATAAAACTCAGTATCTATTTTTAAAACCCAAATCCCAATCATAGAAAATATAATCAAGAGATTATATTTGTAGCCAAGAATTCTGACTTAATAAATAAGAAACTTAATATGAATTTTAATGTGCATTTTCAAACTAAAGGTGACATCCACATGGTTATCACCTTCCATAGATTCACAAGGCTCACATCCCAAGACCACAGCAGAAATGGGGCTGGAGAGTGGCTCAGGGACTAAGAAGACACACTGCTCTCCCAGGGGACCCGAGTTCAGTTCCTAGCACCCCACCAGTCAAGTCCCAGCCAAGCCTCGACTCCAGTTCCAGGGGAGCCAGTGCCTTGAGAATCTACTGCCACTGCACTCAACTGCACACCCACATAAACACATAATGAACATTAATAAAACAAAAATTTTCATTGCACATACCAACCCCAGTTCCCCTCCCTCCCTTTCTCCTGCCCCCCACTTTCCCCCTTCCCACCCCCATCCACTCCTCAGAGGAGGCAAGGCCTTTCTTAGGAGTCAACAAAGTCTGGCTACCAAGTTTAGGCAGGAACAATGCGCCCCCCCGCCACCATATCAAGGCTGAACAAGGTACCCACTATAGGGCAACGAGCTCCAAAAAGCCAGTTCATTCACCTGGTATGGTCCTGGTGCCACAGGCAGGGCCCCCCCCCAACAGATCAAGCCACATAACTGTCACACACATTGAGAGGGCCTAGTTCAGTACCACCCAAGTTCCCCAGCGGTCAGTCCATAGTCCGTGAGCTCCCACTAGCTCGGGTCAGCTGTCTCTATGGTTTTCCTCATCATGATCTTGACTCCCCTGGCTCATATGATCCCTCCTCCCTCTCTTCAACTAAACTCTAGTAGCTCTGCCCAGTGCTTGGCTGTGGGTCACTGCAACAGCTTCCATCAGTTACTGGATGCAGTAGGTTCTATGATGACAATTAGGGTAGTCACTGATTACAGCGGAAGGCCAGTTCAGGCCCCCTCTCCACTATAGCTAGGAATCTTATCTGGGGTCGTCCTTGTGGATTCCTGAGAATTTCTCTCGCACCAGGTGTCTCCCTATCTCCAGGCTACAATCCACAACCCCAGAGAAGCTAAGTAAAAAGGGGGACCCTAAAAGGGACACACATGGAGAGCCCCAGGAAGGGGAAGTAGTTAAGATCTCCTGAGTAAACTGGGGGGGGGGTGTAGAAGGGAGGGGACAGGAGATGGTAACATGAGGGATCAAAAGAAGAAGTTGGGGGAGGCATGGTAGGGGAGAGCAATGAAAGAGATATCTTGATTAAAAAACAAACAAACAAATCTTTTAAAAAATAAAATAGATCTATCTGAACCCAGACACAAAAACACCCAGTGAAAGGCTGGCCCAAGCTATTATCTGCATATATTTTGAGGTGAAAAGTGTGATTCTGCCAAAATATAAAACACTGTAAACAACAAATGATTTCTCATGACTTTCAGAATTGTTTCAGAGTTGTGAGACCCTCAGTCCTTCCTCCCCTGACAACTCACAAAGGCATGCGGAGTCACATGGAGGATAAAGACTTGCTTCTGTCATTCGTCTGTTCCCTAAGGTACGGAGGACAAACTAGCATCGCTGAGAGCAAGCTGGCTGTGGAGAGATTTGTCCTTGGTGCTTCTGCTTTTTGGAAAGAGCACCTTCTACTAAAATCTCATGCAAAATCCTTGAAATATTTAATATAATTAATTCCCAACAAGTCAATAAGCTATTTTAATATATGCTATTACATTGTATACCACAAATATATATAATTTCTGTTAATTATACCTTAATGAAGCTGAGACATAATTTAAATCTAAAATTCTCTTAGGCAATTATATTTGTATCACTGAAGGATTCAAAGGAGTTATTTATAAATTACCTTTTTAAGAAATGAGCAAAAGTAATTCTAATAGTCATAAACAAACTGCATTGTAGCCTCTGTTTCCTCTTCACAAGTATAGCAAATACTATATGGACGTGTCAGAAAAGAATAATTTAAAGGGTATTTTATTAAAATCTGTTCCCCAAATTTTCTTTGTGTAGTAACAGGATTGTCCTATAAACATTTTCAAACATAAAATAACAAAAAATTACATAATTTTAAGTTTGCTTCTTAGCAAGTATGTATATATATATGTGTGTGTATATATACATGGTTTTGGGTTTTTTGTTGTTGTTTTTTTTGTTTTTGTTTTTTTTGAGGCAGGGTTTCTCTGTGCAGCCCTGGCTGTCCTGGAATTCTCTCTGTAGACCAGGCTGCCCTGAACTCAGAGATCAGCCTGCCTCTGCCTCCTGAATGCTGGGATTAAAGAGGTGCACCACCACCACCTGGCAGCAGGTATATTTCTGAATGGCATCCTTTTGATAAACACTCTTAAAAATAACTGGCTGCAAACCATCATTCCATTACCTAAGCAAAAGCTTAAACGACCTGTAAAAGGCAGAGCAAAGCTGTGGGCGGGAAGAGAGGGAACTCAGAGAAGGCGTGTCTTACGTGGTGTCTAAGAAGAGCGTGTGGACTTTCCGGCCCGCAAGAAGGGAGCGCTCCATGCTGGGGTCGGCTCGGAAGTCTCCAGTGTGCAGTACTGCGGCGCCGTTAGGAGGACGGAAGAGAATCATGGCAGCACCTGGGCAGCTGGAGACAAGCATCTTAGAGGCGCGTACAGAGCAGAGGGCACTGGGAGCCAGCGAGGAAGGGAGGGCGCTTCTTCAGCACCAATGGGAGGACAGCTGGCAGGGGAGGCTGCCCAAGCCTACAGCTCAGTAACATCAACTCCAGAAAATATCAGAACTCAAAACTAGCAGTGAAAAAAGAGGAATATTAGCAAAGGCAAGAAGACAACATTTTTTTTAAGAATCTAACATGATACTGTCGGCCTGGACTTCAGCAAGTTTTGATGCAGCCTTTCTTCTTTCTCCAAATGTGTAGGACCTCTAAGGAACAGGCTCACATCTGTTGGGGAAGTCCTGTGATTATGTCAATAAAGCACTGCTGGCCAATAGGAATCTAGATAGGTGGGACTAGGAGTCCAGGAGGACGCTGGGAAGGAGAAACACAGAGAGTCAAGATGTAACGCCATGGGGTAGGAAGCCCGGAACTATTCTCCGGTAAGAGAAATACTTAGATTAACAATTATGGGGTAATTACTTAAGTCAGAGCTAGCCAGTAAGAAACAAGCAAGGCCAACAGCTTCATAATTAATATAGCCTCCTGTGTGTTTATTTGGGACTGATGCGGCTCTGGAATCAGGCTGGCGGGAAGGCTTCTCTCAAAGAAAAAGGCTTCTCTTTACACACATCCCACAGAGAAGTATAGTGGTTGCTGTGTTTAGGCAACATGGAGCCTGACAGCATCTAAAATGGGGGACATACGGAGACGGAAAAAGAGATACAGAGGGAGGGGAGGAGAAGAAAAAGGAGGAGACGGGGAGGGGACGGAGACAGAGACAGAGGAAACACCACCTGCTTCCATGGGAAAAGAAACCTTTCAAATCTAAAATTCAATGATTCTTTTTTTAGTTTAAGATCATTTAATTTAAGGTGGGGAGCAGGGCACAATCTTATGGTATCCAATGAATATAAGATTTTACTTTACCAAGTTATATTAAGGAAAATGGAAAACTTCATCTTTGAAGAACAGTAACAAAGTATTTTTTAAGAATATAAAGTGTCATAAGTCAACATGGGTTGACAACATGGGTAAGATAACAGATTCTGTCTACATTTAATATGATACTAAAATTATGCTTTCAAAAGTATAAAAAGGATTTACTCCAGTTTAAGAACCAAGTTCATTATTAGCTCTAAGCTCTCGAACAGTTGTGCCACTGCTTTCTTTGTGACCAATGCTTGAACAAATTGTGTGAGCCTGCTGTCCTGCCTTCTGCACCAAGCGGAGACTGAGGGACCTCCGTACTTACTGATTGGCATCCAGCAAAACAACTTTGACACCGTCCACTGTACACTCAGTGTCCATCGGCAACTGATGGATGTATTGTTCCTGCACACGAAGTTTCTTCTTCAACAAATTGCCAGTTATCTGCAGGACGGTGAACAGGTTACTGGTGCAGCAACACAAAGTGTTGTGTCCATACCAGTCTGGCAACACGCTGTCTCCATCATCTGCTTCCCCCCACACAGACAGACATGACACTCTTCTTTTCTTCACCTAGGAAAACTGCCATTCCCAGGAGGAGGCACAAAACGCTTCCCTGACTGGTCACTGCCCACTACTGTGGGTTTATCCTGTGGTTTTTTTGTTTTGTGGTATGTTCTACATAGTCTGAAACTTCTGAAAGTCTAAAATATGTATTTCTGAGGTGCCTGCGCCTCTCCACAAACTCCCCGTCCATTCCTTTCCATTAAGAAAAGAGGACACTTCATGAGCGATGTGAGGATCAAATCAAAGTCTCACTAAAGCCCCAGGGAATCGGGATTAAAATGTCCACTGTTGCGGGACTAAGCCCAAATTATCAGTATCTGTGACCGTTATCCCTGGAAGCTACAAACCCCCTACAGCTAAGTGTTTTGCCTCTACATCTACCCAAAAGAATGTTTACTGGGTGAGCCTTGGGCTACTGAGCATACTGTGAGGTCATTTACTGTTCTCATATAACACAACGCATGACTGTAGAAGTAGTCTGTAGCTATGGCGAGTGACACACTGGATCTTACAACCTGATGTAGGATCTGCTTTATCCATCTTCTCTAGTCTCTTCTAGTTTTCCAGAATCTATTTTTTTTTAAACCAGGCTTCTCAAAGTCGCGACATTCCACAAAGACAGAGTTTTAGAACGCTAAAACTTACCTCACTACAGTAAATTGGCAGCGCAAAGTCCTTAGACAAGCCCGCGTAATGATCTGAATGGAAATGTGTGAGGAAATAGGCCGTGCAGCCTTCGACCTCGCCGTACTGAAAAGCGTCCACGGTAAAACCAGTTCCTGCAAGGAGATGCCAGCGGTGGGATGAGCAGGGGCCTCCTCCCCATGCCGCACTTCTCACTTAACCTAAGCTTGACTACGGTTTACTTAAAAACGGAAATTTACCAAAGGTAAGCATAGCTCCTGTGTCTACTACACATTCCAGTGTACAGGCGTGCAGTTAGTTCATCAAAAAAAATTGTTAAAAGACAGGAAGTTACAAACCAATCATTTCATTGCTCTAATAACACTTCTGTAATAACTGTTACGTAGGGGGACAACTGAAATTTCTAACCTCTACACAGCAGTGAATGAAGAATGGTTTAGAACTCCGAAGCCATGAATTCCCAGTGAGGGCGACACTGATCTGACTCTCTGGGGTCAAAATGGTTGGGGGCCAAAGAACTTAAGAAAGTTTGCATCCTCCCAAGGGTCAAAGTAAATGGAAGGTAGACAGTGTTATCTATAGTTCTCAAATTGCATTTCAGGGGAGTGGAGGAGTACGGAAACAGGAAGGAATTGCGAGAGTCTCCCCAGAGGAACGATAACAACAGTTAAACTGAGAAACACTGTTGTAACATGTGTTTATGGAATGCTGGCAGGGGACATGCAGGTAGATAAACCCAGCCTCCTGCTTCTACCGAGGCCATCAATACACAGTGAGTGCACCTAGAGTATAAAAGTGAGTCGAAACCATTACTGAAAACCAAACACCAGTGAGGCATTTTTATGCAATATTTAGAAGCTGCATACTGTTGGAGAGTTAGTGGTTTCTTTAGTAATAGAATTCACTTCCGTGCACATTTTTTGTATGAACTCAACTCTGAAGGCATGGGCAGACATCCATTTGGGACACACAAAACCAGAAAAACTTAAGTCCTGACATTACTCTGGCACTGGCATTCATGGCAGGTACAGCCTGCTATTCCAGACTTCTTTTAAGCCATTGAGCACTGTGTCTCCTCAGCAGTGCTTAAACACTGGCTTTTATTATATTTGCACTGATATCTCACCGTTTTTTTTTTTAGCTTAAATGGAATCTCCACTGTTCACTGGCTTTTCTGTAAACAATCTATAATAGCTACCTACTCATTACAGTATACTATATGAAATAAATGTTAAACAAAAATTTGGTGATGGAGAAAAATATATATATAAAAACAAAACCCCAAAGCCCCAATCCTGCTAAAAGATTCTTTAAAGTACCATAAAGAGCAAAGAAAACATATGCTGTGTACAAACTATTTCAAACGACAAGGAACATGAAGCTAAATACTCCGTGTCTCCGTTGAGAAGCTGACGCTGGCATTTCAACTTACCGGGGATTCTCTTATAGAACGGACATGTTCTTCTCAATTCCCCGGCCCTGGATGACCCTGGAGTGTCCGTGCTCCCTCTCTGTGGCCTGCCATGAGTCCTCCTTCCGAAGGCTCTGCCCTTATTTAAACTGACTGCTCCCAATTCCGGATTGTTCATGGGGTGACCAGACCTCCTCTGATGTGCTCCTTCCTGCGGCGAATCTGACATTTTATGTCTCTTTCTTCGACGCTGGGCCCTCTCTCCTGGCTGTTCCACAGAGCGCTGACTCTCATTTAAATCCCCTGAGTCCGATTCTAAGTTACTTAGGGAGTTTTCTGCTTTCCTCTTGCACGGCCGGGGCTGCCTTTTGTTAGGACTAGCAACTGGGTTGACATTCCGCCCTCCTGATGCACTTTCGCTCGGTGACGGCTCTAGTCTCTTGGGGGGTAGTCCAAAAAACACACCTATATCCATTTGCTTCATAACTTTCTTAGAAGGCTGACTTGCACTGCACTTGGGACTGGAAGGCAATGGGTTCAAAGATTTGGCAGGAGGCGTACTAGACAGCTTTTCTACCTTTCTGCAGGCGCAGGCCGAGTTAGCCACGGTAGCACCCAAGACCTCATTCCGTAATCCCCTAATTTGATTTTGGGTCGGATGCAAAGGCCGGCGCTCTCCTCCCTCCTTCTCAAGTGGCTTCGGCATGGCACTTGTAGGTAACGGCGACGGCAGGGGAATCTGATTGCCCACAGCTGATGTTTCCATTTTCCCTTTCTGATGACTCGATCCAAGTGAGCGCGGCTCCTCCGGATCCCCAGGTTTTGCTTTGCGGGCTTGACAATTAGAAGCAGCAGGCCCTGCCGCTAATGCAGGTGAAAACAGGAGAACGCCAGCGTCTTGGGAAAGTCTGCTCTCAGTCTGGGAGAGAAGCTGAAATGAATCACTTAGCGCGCTGATTTTATACAACGCATTGCAATCAGCCTGAGTTACCAGGCTTTCCGCTGTGGGGCAGACTCCCTCCAGTTCCCTCGGGAAGGGATTGTGAAAGTTTTCAAATACGGCAGGACCATCGTCTTCTAGGCTGCTGTCTTTAGAGCTCTGGGTACAAAACAGCTCTCGCTGTGAATCGTCATAAGTCTCCTTGTCACTCTGCAACGGCGAATAAGAGATCTCACAGCTGCCACAGTCAGTTTCTGGCGACGGCAAGCTCGTCGTACCCTGTGAGGTGCTTTGACTGTTGAACGCATCCTCAGGGAGATGCAAACCGCCTCGCACAAACTTGTCCTTCTTAACAGACTCTGTACACTGTGGAGCTGGTGACATTTGAGAGTTCGCACAAGAGGGGCTCTTTCTGTCGGTTTCAGGTGGAAGCGCAGATGTTTTTAGACACTGTATCATCAACAAGGAATCATCTAAAACTCTTAAGCTCTCAGCTTTCAGATGCACAGGCCATCTTTCTTCAGGGTTACAAGAGGCTGGCTTTGCTGCAGTAGAACGTCCAGTGGGCACGCGTGAGGGGCTGCTGGGAGGCTCATTGCTAGCCCTACTCTGAGCTAGCAGGAGGTGAGTGTATTTCTTATAATGAGAAGGAATTGTGGAGGTACACAGAACACCCTCGGGGCACTCTGAAAATAGTTAAAAATGGGGGAAAAAGAGCATTTCATAAATCAACTTTGACAGCACTAACAAAGTAACCTAGAAGCACAAAAACCATGGGTCACCGTTTTATTTTGCTTTTGAGACAGTTTCTCTGTGTAGCCCTGGCTGTCCTGGAACTCACTCTGTAAATCAGGCTGTCCTGGAACTCACAGAGATCCGCCTGCCTCTGCCTCCCGAGTGCTGGGATGAAAGGCGTGCGCCACCAATGCCAGGCCACCATGGGTCGCCTTTAAAAACTATGGCAAAAGCTATGGCTACCTGCATGACAGCTGTTGGCAAGATCAACATTAAAATACCAAAAATTAATCCAGCACAATTTTACAAGGTACTATTTATTACATTTACAGCAAATACTTATTTAGATTGCTTTTCAAATCCTCTCTTCATAAGAAAATTTTAGATAACTTGAAATAACGTCGTAACTCATTCTCCGTAGAGTCCAAGTAAAAATCTCTACTTGTTAAATATCACATTTATCTTAAAATATAATAAAAACCTGGCGTTCCCTTTTGTCGCTGGCACAGTTTTATGAGAATATGAGTCATCTCAGATTACCTTGTAGTTCCTCTTCCTGGTACTAACTCGCATGATGAATTCAACATACCCGTATTTAGAAACCAAATGTGTTTATAATTCCTATCTAATTCTAAAACAGGATAACAAATTGGCCCAGTTATCCAACTTGTAGGAACCCTCATCCATAATATGTTAACACCATCGACCTCCTTGGGAGAGCCGAGTAAGGGAAAGCAGAGCGGAAGAGAACATTTATGGAAAGGAGCTGAGGAGCTGGGAAGATGGTTCAGCCAATACGGTACCTGCTGTGCACACAGGGACCTGGGTTCAGATTGCCAGCCGCCAGGCGTGGTTGCACATTCGTACCTTCCCAGTACTGAGGGGACAGCAGCAGGGACGTCCCCGGGGCCCTCCTTACCTGTGTCAGAGACTGGCGGAGAATCCAGACACTCGAAAACATGCCATCGGGGTGTCTGACCCAGCAGTGAGGAAAAGGGCATCTGGCAGCATGGGCAGTGTCCGTCATAAACGGGGCGGGCCCTGGGGGACACTTGTTTGTTTTTGTGAGTTCTACAGTGCTTTCTTGGGGTGGTGTCTTTGCTTTGAGCCTGCTGCGTCTCATCTCTACCACTTGGATTCTGACTGGAACCTACAGCAATCTGGCAGTCTGCTTCTCCAAGGCACACTGTGTGGTCCCTGGTCTTGCCTTTATCCTCTGCGTTTCTTTTTTTGTTTCCTTTTTTTCCTTTTGACTGGTCATTTCCATCTGCTGTTCTTCCAACAGATTCTGGAATGTTTTGAGAACAGCTATTTGGATGCGCCGGTTTTGGTTTTCTTTTAGATTTATAGTCCCAGATTTCTTCTTCCCAAAACGTGTCCTCTAACATGGCAAAATGATTTTATATGAGTACATTAGCTTTTAGTAAATTCAGAGTCCTTTTCTTGCTGCAATTTCTTTTTAACAGTTATAAAAAATAACCAAAAGCCAACTAACTTAGTTGGAACCTAAGGCTTTGGTGATGGTTACATGGGCACACAGCACACTTGGTACCTGTGAACACCTGCTGTTCCAGCGATACAATAAAGAGAGCCTACCACTGGCTAATATCTGCACCGTTTTCTTTACATTGTGACACTATTCCATTCAAGCATCTTTTTTATTCCCCCCAACCCCCTGTTTTCCAGGACTTGAGTCATGAAAGTGAGAATCGATGATGGCTTGAAAGCTAAGCACGGGAGGGTAGTACAAGCCCAACAACTCTTTATCTTAAAACCGGCCCCATGGGACTGTAGGGAAGCTACCCCGGCTCTCTCCTCTCTCGGGGACAAGCGCGCCCATCCACAGGTCCAGCCCCTGGTCATCCGGGCCCTTTTCAGTTCACTCCTGACACCGGTCACACCATGACCACAGTGGCCTTGGTCCCCAAGCCCACAGCTGCCCCCAGTCGTGACTCATGGGTACCCAGCCAGCTGCAGTGTCCCGGGCCGCTCCATGTCTTCCTCCAGCCACAGGACCGAACCCTGCACAGTGAACAAAGTGCAAAAACACGTGAGTGAGTGAGTGAGTGAGTGAGTGAGTGAGTGAGTGAGTGAGTGAGTGAGTGAGTGAGGAGGCTGCGCCTGGGCCCCAGGGGCTGTGTCTGTCCTGGGAGGCCAGGGTCCGACAGCGCCCACAGGCTCCTTCCCTTAGGATCTGGGGTGGGGCGGACCAATGAAGGGGCCCGCAAGTATGCTGGGGTAAAGCTCTGCCAGCTCCCGGGGCGCAGCACCCGTTGCCAGCGCCGAGGCTCGCCCTGCACGCCCTGGAGGCTGCTGCACCTGGGCACCGGCTTCGCCTGCCCCCGCTCCCCTCCCCTCGCCCGCTCGCCCAGGCGCTCCATTCGCTCCGGCACTTTCAGCACTCTCAGAGTGACGGGATACCTGGTTAACACAAGACCGCCGGCCTCGCCATCTACAACAACCACGCTCCTCCTCCTTCTCCTCCTCTCCGAGGACCTCCTTCACCTCCGCGTTTACCTTTCGGGTCTTTCTTGGCGGGAACTCTCTCCCGTCTCCCGTGACGAATCGGCCGATCTCGGTGTCAAGAGTGGGAGAGCCGAGGAGGTTTTTTTTTTTCCCCCGAAATCGACTCTTGTTGGGTTGCAGGCAGCTGTCTTGAATTTTACCCGAGGGGGCGGGTGGCGCAGGCCCCCTCTCTCTCTCTCGAGCGCGGCGGCGGCGGCGTCGCCCGTGTCGAATCTGGCGCTGCGGACGTGCAGGCTCCCTTCGCGGCGGGCCCCGGGGAGGAACCGGGAAGGGGCGGGGTGGGCAGCGCCCGGGGTTCTGGCTCTGGTTCCGCCCGAGCGGGGCGGGGGAGCGCTGGCCCTGCGGACGCCGGCGCCGGGAGGGGAAGGTGCGGAGCGGACGGACGCGTGAGTGAGCGAGCGAGCGAGCCCGGGGCCCCTGGGCGGCGGAGCCCTCGGGAGCTCGCACGGCCGGCATGGCGGCCCCCGGAGCGCGCGGGGCGAGCCTCTCGGGCCTGCTGCCCGCGCAGACGTCGCTCGAGTACGCCCTGCTGGACGCCGTCACCCAGCAGGAGAAGGACGAGCTGGTCTACCAGTACCTGCGCAAGGTGGACGGCTGGGAGCGGGACCTGGCGGTGCCCGAGTTCCCGGAAGGTGAGTGCGAGAGTGAGCGCCCTGCCGGGGCCCTGCTTTTCCTCCCTGCTGGGTGCAACCTGCAGGGGGCGCCCTTTCCGGGCCTGCTTGGCGGAATTGTGGGGAAACCGAGGCACAGGAAGGCGAGGGCGCCGACCCGCGCGTCCGGTGACCCCGAGCGGCGTCGCGCAGACCTCAGGTCCGATGCTTGTGGACACAGCGTGGGGGTCAGTTTCATTTTAGGGGGTCAGGTTCGAACCCCTGGCTGGGGGAACCCACGAGAAAGCAGATGACACCCGCAGCAGCCGGGGTCGGACCCAAAGGCTGCGGCGCTGCCTGTGCCTGGGTCGGGAGGGGGGAGGCAGGGTGGCGGCGTCGCTCTCTGGGCTTGGCGCGGGGCCCCGGCGCGACACTGACACCCCATGCATGGTTAATGGGCCCGGTGCACGCATCCACCTTAACCCCCAAGGATGGATGGATCCGGCGCCTCTTTCCGTCCCGCCGCTGCCCGCAGCCTTGGATGTCTCTCCAGCCCTTTGGCGCTTGGCTGGAGAGGGGCTTGCCCCCTCCCTCCACCCTTCACTATTTGTTACTACTCTGGGTTTAGTGCAGGCATTTTTTTCGGGCGGATCGAGTGGGACAGGTATTTCTGGCACTCGGGAGTCACAGAATACTGAGTGTTAGCTCAGATGGAAAGGCTTAGCCCCGTCAGGAAAACGTCAGAGTAGCGAATACACATGTTCAGGTAGTGTACAGATCTCCTGGAAGTTTTGGAGTAAAGCGAGTGGGAAGTACACTGTTACAGGGCAGCCTCTGGAAGTTTGGGAGAGCGTTTCTGTGCGTGCTTTTACAGTAGCTTTACTTTATTAACGATGCTTGAGCTCCGCGACCCAAGTCAGACTCGGGAGACAACAGTTTACTCAAGTCACACGCACGAGAAAGACAATCAGGCTTTGTTTTTGATACAGTCTTGATATTCTGCCCAACCCGATTATTAAGGACAGAATGCAGGGGAGGAGGGAAGGGAGAGGGAGCTGGGATTGATTGACACTTGAGACAAACTCGTTTCTAACTTAAATTTTTTTAAAAAAAGGACATAATACTAGAAATGAAGAACGCAATTGTCGTTCACTGGTCAATGGAAAACATACCCATTCTACAGAAGCTGCCATCTGCAGCATAGCAGCGGGCGGATCCAGGCCAGCCCGAGACTAAGCCTCTGTTTCCTCCTTCCTCAGCTTTTTGCACACATCACTTGATTTCTCCACGTCTGTTTTTTTTTTTTTTCTTCACTTGCAAAGTGGAACAATTCTACTCTTCTGGGTGGTAATTCTTGTGCTTAGGATGTGAAATACATGTTAATTGGTATGTTTAATTAACAATTTTGTGTCATCAATTAGATGCATAACTAATACGTATCCAAAGCAATGATTAAATGTTCACTGAACCCTGGAACCTTTTTAGAGTATTTGGCGGAGATACGCATTTGATTGCGATGATCATTTCTAGAGTTTCGTTGTAGTGGACTCACTGTAGCTTCTCATTATTGGCTGTCCTCCTTGCTACATTAGCCTCATTCATGTATGGCTTCAGGGGCCTGTAGTTAATCGCCTCAAAATATTAAGTGGAAAATTCCGGAAACAAACTCTCCCTAAGTTTTAGGTTGTACGTCGTTCTAAGTAGGGTGATGGAACTGTGTGCTTCTGTCCTGTGTCCTCTCCAGGGTGTAAGTTGTCCTTCTGTCCCTGACACTAACCAACCCCGTCTATGTCTCAATAGTGTGTGAGCCGTTCACCATTAGTCATTAGTGCTTGTCTTGATAGATGATTGTTGTGAATGTTGTGGCTCCAAGATTCTGGAATAGAGATGCTGTTTATTGGCTATACCCCAGAGGAAACCATCCCGGCATTAAGTGAAAAGGTGAATTTTTTCTGGGCTCTGTGAAGAACAGCCGCTTGTTGTGGCTCTGGGAGGTGTAGTAAGAATGATCTTAAGCCGGGCGGTGGTGGCTCACGCCTTTAATCCCAGCACTCGGGAAGCAGAGGCAGGTGGATCTCTGTGAGTTCGAAGCTGGGCTGGACCGACAGCCTCAAAAACAATACAGAGAAACCCTGTCTCGTAAAAACAAAACAAAACAAAAAAAGAATGATCTTAACAGTCAAATTGTGGACGAGGAACGGGCAACTTCACAGTTTGGCGCTGCCCCTCCAACTGCTTCAGGAGTGTGGTGTGTAGAGGTGCAGAGGTCTACGGACAAGGTTCAGGTCTTCATGGAGAGGATCCGAGGTGACTGCCACAGACAGATGGGGCGACTGTGTCTGTCTCCTATCCAACTTTGCCTCTTAGTTTCTTTAAGCTATTTCTGTCTGCTTCGAGGTACAATTAATACTTTAATAGCCGTATTATTTACTTATAAATTTACTTATAAGCAATAAGTGTCCCTGTTTTCTTTGATGACTTGAGTAAGGATCCTATACTTTTTTTTTTTTTTTTTGGATTTTCCACACATGGTTTCTCCGTGTAGCTTTGGAGGCTGTCCTGGCACTCACTTTGTAGACCAGGCTGGGCTCAAACTCACAGAGATCCACCTGCTTCTGCCTCCCAAGTGCTGGGATTAAAGGCATGTGCCACCAACATCCAGCTGGGATCCTATACCTTTTAATTTAACAAAATCTTCATAGTGTAGAGTTAAAACTTTGAGTTGGTGTCAACTGATTATAAATTCTGTACTAAAAAGCTACAAATCTTAAGCTCCTGCTTTTCTTTGAAGGGAAGGGAACATGATCTTCAGTGCTAATGTTTCTTCTAACTTTGCATTTAAAATATTTCGTTTAGTGTGTAGGGTTTGTTCATCCAACTCTAGAGCATGGTGACTTCTCTTTTGTAAGATTATTTTAAGCACTTCACATTTACCCTTACAGCCATCATGATCTTTTCCATGTCTGCTGTTTAAACTTGACCCTTGTTCTCAGTATCCCTTTTATACTTAATTATTTGTGCAGTTAGATTTTTTTTATTTTATTTGGTGTCATTGTGTTACTCACTTCCCCCAGACTGTTACACTATTTCTGAGGCAATCTAGTACTTTTTGGTTTGTTTGTTTTTTATATTTGCAGGTTGCTACCATCCCTCCTCCTCTTTGTCCCTCTCTGAGATTTTAATTTTAGTTGCCTGGTTGATCTATTTCATTAAATCATACATACCTATGTTGTTAAAATCATGAAGATGTTCTCTTATTTATTAATAGAAAAGAGGCCCAGGGAGAAACAGAATAATAAATTCAAATGCCACAGACTTTAACTAATGCTGTCATCCCTTAAAGTGTTTGACTATTTATACTCATCTTAGGGGAAAAAAAAGATTCACACTTTAATGGACAGTTAAGGTAAATTGCCCTGTTTCCTTTCTTGTTTTCTTTAATGTTGTAATTTGTGTCTTTTAAACTCCAGGGTTAGAATGGCTGAACACAGAAGAGCCTCTTTCTGTTTACAAGGATCTGTGTGGAAAAGTGGTTGTCCTCGACTTCTTCACGTACTGCTGCATTAACTGTATCCACGTGCTGCCCGATCTCCACGCCCTGGAGCGCAGATTCTCCGACAAAGGTATCTGCCTTTGATTGGTTCCTCACATTTGGGAGGACTGTGGTGCTTTTAGGTGTGATGCTCATCTGTGGGCAGGACTGACTCCCTGTTTCCCAGTGCCTTTTACTTATAAGATCAGGTCTCACCGTGTCGTCCAGGCTGTGGCCCTCCATCTCTAGGTCCCCTGATTTGCCTCCCAGCTGCCATTAGCCTGGCTGTGCCTGGCTTCCATGTGCTTTATCATGAGCACGGGTTAAACTTAGTGATAATGGTTTGCTTAATTGGGAACCAGAATTTAGAATTCAGGTTTTGTCTGAGGGTTTGAGCCTAATTTACTTTCTGCATGATGAGATATTTTAAAGAAGTCTTTTTCTATCCCAGGCTTAACTAAATTTGTCCTGTGAAAAAAGTGGAACATCTGGCCCCAATTTTATACTCTCCTCAGTGTGACGATACAAAGGCTGACATTCCTCATCAGGGAATGTCATTAGGCTCTGACGTGAACCACGGTGGAGTGCAGAATATAGCGGATACTTTCTCTTTGACCTTGCAACATTAAAAAGTGATTTGTTACAGTTAATGTTTTCCAAAGCACACTAGGAAATCCTCTTATGGCATTAAAGCTTTGGAGGTAGGAAAGATTATACTTAGAGATTGTTGTCCAGGTTGGAAAATAATCAGGCTTTGATTTTTTTTTTTTTGTTGACGTCTTTTCAGAACAACATGAGAGTAGAATTCATAAGAGGGTTTCATTTAGTTGAGTTTGCAGGCATCAGTATGCTTGGCATGTACATGGAAGGGATAGTGTCGCTGGTTCCGTGACCAGATGCTGAGGCAGACCCTGTGGGCATACAAATGCCAAATGTCGTGGAGCACAGTCGAGCAAGACTGCTGACAAAATCTGAAATACAAATAAAGACTGACCAAAAGGTTTGCAGATGGCTGAATCATCAAAATTTGTTGTGTATAGACTTAAGAGCTGTGCTTTATTATGCCCTAGGTAGTCATATTCCAGCCAGCACATTTATTGAGCTTGCTTGATGAATGTCTTTAGGAAATGAGTAGCAAATCTGAATAAGAAGCAGTAAGGTGGCAAAATCAATTATTTTATAAAATTAATGTATATAAAACTCTAAAAGTCTGAGCTTTAAGCCGTGGTGCATGTGAAATTGAAAATGGGCAGGAGGGTATGCCTGGCTGAGAAAGCATCAGGGTAACAAGCATTGATGCTAGAAAAAGTAGGATTCCTCGCCTCGGAACAGGTTCAGTGTGGCTGGGCTTGTGGTGAAAATAAAAAGAGACAAGGGCTAGAGAGGCCGCTCACTGGTTAAAAGCACCGACTGCTCTTCCAGAGGTCTTGAGCTCAGTTCCCAGCAACTACATGGTGGCTCACCACCATTTCTAATGGATTCTGATGCAGAGGACTCATACATAAAATAAATAAGTTAATCTAGGAGGAAAAGAAGGTTAAGGCCATATTGTGAAGTACTTTTTAGGGCCTTCCTAATAATTCAGACTGTCTCCTTCCATTGAGGATATGGTAATGTCATCGGTTGTTTTTATTTGTTTGTTTGTTTTTATTTTAGAACAACACTACTATGTTAAGAATCTGTATGTTGACCTTTTCCTTATATAAGGTCACCCCTAAATGACCATGTAGTTACCTTAATTGGTTGACACCATGCCCAGAGAAGATTCAGTGACCTCCTCTCTGGAAGAGTAGCCAGTACTGTGTCCTTGGTCTGTTAATGTGGAAATGTTCTGTTTTTTATAGCACGTGTATATATTAATAAACCTTTAAAAAGTGAAATGCTTTGTAAGTAGAAAGAATTGTAGGAAGATGGAGGAGTAAGAAGCAACAGAAATGTTCTAGCATAGATGGTTGTACAGACAGAATCTGTCTAGGGTAGAGCTCTTTATTGAAGGCAGAACTGCTGTATATTTTCAGCAAATGTCACAAGACAATTAAAAACTAATCCAAAAAGACAAAGAAGAGTGACCAATTCAAAGAAAACATAAACCACAGAAACTGTCCCTTTAAAAGACCGAATGACGGGTCTCTAAGACAAATGCTAAAAATGCTTATAGGACAGCAGAAAATTAGAGAAGGTAAAGCGGCACCTGAGGAAAGGGAGGACAGTAAAGAGATAGAAGAACCTGGACTGAAGACTGCACCAGCTGAAATGAGCGACTGGAGACAGAGCTCAAAGCCAAACAGCAGAATTGGCCGAGGATTTTATAAGTGTTTGAAAGGACTGGAGCTTCAAGGACGTGTGGAGCGTCATCAAGTAGATTGTATGTTCTGTAGTAGGGACTTTTAAAGAAGGAATGGACAAAAACTGCCCCAATTTAATGAAGGACATTAATACAAATATCCAAGAACTCTTAAGTAGAATGGACTCAAAGAGACCCACACCAAGACCAGAGTCCGAGTGCTGAGAGGACAGAGAACTCAGCAGCAGAAGAGAAACAGTCCATCATGTTGAGAGAGCTTGGAGCTGGCAGTCTCCAGGTTGTTGGCTTTGATGAAACTAGACGCTGAAGACCTAGAGAGAAAGACAGCTGAGCAACATTTTGCAACTGCACGTTATGCCTCTCAAGTGGAAGAGAAAGGAAAACATCAACCCCACAGGCACAGTTGAGAGGCCTTCACTAGAGGCAGCATACAATTTTGAAGATACTATTTCGAAAAGAAACAGGTGTAAGTAAACACATGGTAATTATAAAAAGTACATTATTGTAACAATGATGTTGTAGCTTGATTTCTGCAAGACTTAGTAGACAAATACTATAATAAAAATTCCTCTGAACGTTATTGACAGATTTGAGGGGAGAAACAGACAGTTGTGTGGTAGTGATTGAAGAATTCAGTGCCCATTCTCAATAGTGAATACAACATCCAGACAGCAGTAAGGAAATAAATGAGTGGGAGGATACAGTAGACTAGTTAGATCTACAACCTATACAACACCTAGCACCGTAGGGATGCACATGGGCCAGATTATATATCAGGTCACAGTTTTTCAGTAGGTTTTAAAAGATAATATGTGAGGCATCTTTTCTGTTATCAATTAAAGTTAGAAATCAATAGAAGGAAAGCTGGGATGATGGATTGTTTTGTTTTGTTTTTTAATTAAACACATCTTTAAACACCCAACAGAGCAAAAAGGAAATTAGAAAATACTTAGAAATGAGCAAAAAATTATGGCATTTTATTAAACTTATAAACACATTTAAAAAAAACATACCAGCCAAACTTAACAGCATAAAGAACTAGAAAAAAAGAACTAACTTCCATGAAATTAGCAGAAGGAACAAAACAGTGAAGGTTTAAGCAGAAACAGAATTAGATAATAGGAAAATAATAGAAGTGAAAAATTGATTTCTATATTACTAAAACCAGAAATGCAGATGAAACTATTACAGTCCATTCCATAAGATCATATATTATTGTGTGCCCGTGATAAAACTGTGAAGACATAGAAACTCCAATGGACCTGTATCTACCAACTTTAGTCAATGCAGCCAAGACACAGTACCAGCCAAACTGTTTCCTGCAGGATGAATGAAAGGTAAAATTGGACATTCCCTCAGAGTTCTACCAGTCAACCTCAAGAAGGAAGGAAATTCTGACAACTTGGAGAGGACCCTTGAATATATGACATCATGCTAAGTAAAGCAAACCAGTCTCTCTGTTTCTGTCTCTCTCTCCCCCTTACACACACACACACAGAGAGAAGAGAGAGAGAGAGAGAGAGAGAGAGAGAGAGAGAGAGAGAGAGAGAGAGAGAGAGAGAGAGAGAGAGAGAACAAGAGTGAATGAGTAAGTGAGAGGGAAAGATTCTGCTCACGTGAAGTCTCCAGAATAATCAGAATCACAGAGATGGGAAGAAAAATGGTGGACTTGTGTGCAACGAGTACATTTCAGAGTGTTTATCTGAGACAGGGTCTCATCCTTCGCCAGCCCAGGCTGGTCTAGAACCTCACTATCTAGCTCAGGCTGGCCTCGGATTTGTGCCTAGCATTTTCGGTTTTGTAAGATGAAGAGTTCAGAGATGGGTGGTGGTTGGAGGTAGTTTGTTGTCAACAGTATGAATGTCCTTAGTACTCAATATCACTCTTAAAAAATGGTTAAGGCAGTAAACGTTATAGAAAATAAACCTATAAAACACAAAATGACTGCACAGGGAGTGCATGCCTGTAATGCCAGCCCTTGGGAAGCTGAGCATCTTAGTTAGGTTTCTATTGCTGTAAAGAGACACCATGACCATGGCAGCTCATGTAAAGGAAAACGTGTGCTTGCTTGTAGTGAGTCACTTAAACATCTTAAGGATGTAACTGTGCCCTGAGGTCATTAGTTCAGAGTAACTTCTTATCACATGTTTATGTTAAATTAGTATGTGCGCGTGTGGTTTCTGCTTGCTACAAGGAGTTTCTAAGCACAAGGGTCTTTTGCTTTGTTTTGTTTTTCAAGATGGTTTCTCTGTAGCTTTGGAGCCTGTCCTGGAACTTGCTTTGTTGACTAGGGTGGTCTTGAACTCACTGGGAGCCTCTGTCTCCCGAGTACTGGGATTAAAGGCATGCGCCACCACCAATAGGCTTCATTCTGTGTTCTTAAATATTGGTCATTTTATGGCACATTTTCAGTGGTTTAGTCTAAGAGCCTAATGACTATTTTTTTTTTTTTTGTCTTGGTGTTTTGCTTCTGATCTCTGCTTCAATGTGGTCTTTAGTGGCTTTGATTTCAATGTTGCCACTGCTTTTCGTATAAACACCTAATGCCCAGTGCCTTCTGCCCACAGTCGCCTCCTCCTCCCTTTCTCTCAGCCTCCCTAGCTTTGCCCCAGGTCATCTGTGGTGTTGTTGTGGGCAGTGGGCTGTGCCCTTGGTTTGTGTGCTGCGGAGGCCAGAGGTGACCTCAGGTTTCTTCCTCAGCCTCTCTCACTTTGGAGACAGGGTTCTCATTGCAGCTGGCGCTCATGGATTGGCTGGACTGGCCGGCCACCAGGCCCTGGTCTGCC